TTTTGGGTCGCCCGTTGCTCGCGCTCGCTGCCGCGTTCGCCGCCCGCGCCGCGCTCCCCGCCGGGCCTAGATTTTTTCCCACCACGGTGTATCTCGCATGTCGCTCCACCTCCCGCTCATCGATCGATTTTCTTAAATGCCTCCCGAGTCCGGCCTACCGTCTCCTGCATCCTCATTCGCTCAAACGTATAAATTTCTTTGTTGATAACTATTGTTACTTTGTACCTCGGTACATGATATTTCTCCTTAGTTTAACCCAATCTACCGCTATTTGCAAAGTGGCTACTTTTGCATCAGACACCCTGTATATCTTTCAACTTCTACTTAAAATTTTTTTTAATTTCGAAAAAGCGATATCTATCATGTAATATGTGTTTTACAGGTATGCACTCAGATTGAACAATAAATTCAGGATGACTATCGCCATGCAATTTATAGTGAGTACATTGGTGGTATGTTCCAATTTGTACCAAATGACTAAGTCAACATCTTTAAATGCAAGCTATCTTCCCTTACTGTTGTATATGTCCTGCATGTTGACTCAAATTTTCATCTATTGTTGGTACGGAAACGAAGTTAAGTTAAAGGTGTGGATAGTTAAGTTATTCCGCATGTTTTCATTTTATAAACATAATATGCATAGTATACATAATGTTGAATCAAAGTTTATATATTTATATAATAATATAATACACAATTCTTTTAACCAAGTTTGTTAAACCTCAATGTTTAATGATGTTGAAAATGTTTAATTTTCTCATTTGAAATGTAGAGCACTCAACTGCTCGACAACATTTTTGCAATGGATTGGGTAACAATGAACAGAAGTCTCAAAGAAAGCTTATTAATAATTATGACTCGTACAGCAGCACCGATAGAATTTACCAGTGCTTATGTTTTATCTATGAATCTCGAGTCTTTTGTTGGGGTTAGTAAAAAAGTTAATTTGCAATTTCATAATTTATATATTTTATAATGAAATATTTTATTACGGGTATTAACAATAGATTCGTATTCTTAACTAAAATATTTTGTTTAACTGTGGAAGGTAAGAAAACATATGATTTATAAAGAAATTAGTTAAAAAATAATTTTAAAGTACCTTTAAATATTGTGATCATAGAATGTTTAACAAGGTATATTAAACAAATACAATAAGGACCGTGAAATGAATTATAAACTTTATATATATTTGTTGCAGTTACTTAAGACGTCATATTCAGCTTATAACATATTAAAACAAGTATAAGAATTATGATTATAAAGTATAAATAAACTTGAAAGTACTGAAAAATGTTTTCCGACATATCATCTTGTTGTTGATAGTTGTTAATATCTGTAGAAATTCATATCATAGTTAGTATTATATCTGTGAACAAATAAACAGCAATTGCTTATAATGTGTCCTGTTATAATTATGTATTTAACAAATTTTTACCTGATGTATTACTAATAAAGTAAAAAGTAAAGAATAGATTTTATATATTGTACATATGTATATGTATAATAACAAATACCTAATAATGCTCTATATGTATAAGGTGTCTAATTCCTTAGAGACTAATCGGAAAGTGATGGTACTTTGGGTCATGCATATATAAACTATACTATAAATAAAATTCGACCTTGGAATTTGAGACAAATGGCAAAGGTACAGCGCTAGCGACAGTGATAAATATTTACTAAGTAAATTGGTGGGTTACTTTTATTATGATTTTATAAAGATAAAATGCAATCTATAATTTACTAAGATTCTACGACTTTCTTACTGCTTTCTTGTATTTTCCCCGCTGTATTTAAATGTGTCATTATATTACATGGTTGTCGTAAATGTATAAAGTTTGCATTTGAAAACGATTTTCCATGCGAACTGTATCAAGAAAGTGGGGAACGATATTGCGAGTTTGGTATTACGATAATTATATACCTACCGAACATAGAGGGGAAACTAGAAGAGAGCAGTAGTCACGTAGTCAGAAAGTCATATCATGTGACTATAGACATTCTGAGGTTTATTGTAAGGAATTTCGCAAAGTTAGTTCACGGTGCTATTGACAAAAAGACTTTCGTATTTTACATGTAAAGAAACTCTGAACTTTTTAATTCTCCTATCTGCTCACGGGCAGACTGCGTGGCTTAATACTGCAGAATTAACCATATTTGCATATACCATGTGAAATCTTATTTGTATTATTGTATTATATCATTTATACTAAACAAATATTTAAAAGGTCGGGAAAACGTGCTGTGCATAATAATGAATCAACAGTTAATGTTTTGTAAGAGAGCTTAATTTATTAACATTTACATTTAATATTACTACTAATTAAGGAAATGTCAGATATTGATATACTTTATTAAATAATTTACATAAATTGCAATAACAAAAAATAATTTAATATAACGTTACTAGCGTATTGATATCTTTGAGAGTGAGATTAAGAACACGGAAAATGCAGGTTCTTGCATTTACATTAAAAATTCTTACGGTAGTGGGATGTTGGCCACCGAATTCTTGGACATCGTTGTGTAAACGTATTATGTATAATACATATACGACTTTCGTAATATTGTTACTGTTCAACTTTATGCTGTCTCAACTTATGGATGTCGTTTTGAATGTCGACAATACCGATGATTTTACAGATACTTTCTATATCATGCTTGCCATGATCCTTTCTTGTTGTAAAATGGTCGGTCTTTTGGTAAATCGCAAAAATATAGGAATATTAATCAACACTCTTACCCAAAAACCATTTATCCCATTAGAAGCTGATGAAATAAAAATCCGTCACAAATTCGACAAAATAATACAGTAAGTATAAAAACTCTCTCTCTCTCTCTCTCTCTCTCTCTCTCTCTCTCTCTCTCTCTCTCTCCCCTCTCTCTTCGTTTATCTACCTATCTCTATCTATGTATCTATTTCTACGAATGCAAAAGTGTTTAAATTCTTTAAGACGAAATTGTATAAAACAACAGTAAAGAAAAATGTTTTTAATAAACCACTCAGCCATTTCATAGGACCAACACTTTATTGTACACAATTTTGACCGAGACAACGTGTGCATGCATCGCGTTGACATCATTATTCACGGATTTTCGGAAAGGTAATTTAACATACAGAGAATGGGTACCATATAACTACACATCCGAGGTGGTATTTTGTGTTATATACGCTCGTCAGTTAATAAGCTCAACTATCGGCTCGATGGTGAACGTAGCATGCGACAGTCTAATTTGTGGTTTATTATTGCACATATGCTGTCAGATTGAAATACTGGAGTGTCGGTTGAAAAAGATCTCCCTCGGCCAAAACAATCTGCGTGAATGTGTACGTCAGCACGACTGTATATTTAAGTTAGTCTCTTTAACAATTCTGCAGATAGTAAACTGGTGAAAAAAATATTTAGAAAATACAAAAGTTATATATGTTGCACTTTTTAAAATTATTTTGCGTATAAGTATTAAGCGTTTATAAGAGCTTGTTATTAATTATTTTTAGTGCTTAAAGTAGATATATAAAACATTGAAAAAATATCTTTAAGATAAAAATTTATGTGAGTGCTTTGAAATAAATATGTTTTCTTTAAAATACTTTTATTTTGTAGATTTGCATTAATGGTAAACGAAAAATTCAAGGTCATTATTGCCATTCAATTTGTAATGAGTACGCTGGTGGTGTGCTCCAATTTATATCAATTGGCAAAGATAACGTTGAATGCGCAATGCTTTTCATTGATATTATATACATGCGCCATGCTGACACAAATTCTTATCTATTGTTGGTATGGAAACGAAGTAAAGCTAAAGGTGCGATTTATATACATATTTTGCAAAGCTCGAACGTGTATAATAACTTATTAAATACTTCCTATGTGTATTATATAATTTATTTAAAATTTTAGTGATATTTCAAATACATATTATTAGATATAGAATTATTATTGTTAGTGTAAAATTCTATTACAAACAACTACAACAAATTTAGCAACAGATATAATCGAAATAAGGAAAGCATTAATTAACGATTTCTTCTCGAGAACGTTGTATAATGTTTCAATTCATGGGTTTTATCTTTTTCACAGAGTGTTGAACTTGCCACTAATATCTTTGGAATGAAGTGGTTGACGATGAAGCAAAGCAAAAAACAGAATTTATTATTAATTATGAATCGTTCATTAACACCCATTGAATTTTCTAGCGCATATATTCTCACAATGAATCTTGATTCTTTTGTAAGCGTGAGTATAACATGTCTATTACTACTAAACAGCTAATAATCAGTTAACAAAATTTATTTTATTTATTTTAACAATAGTATACAACAAAATTTGATCTATTTCTTAATTATATTGTATTATTATAAGAACAACATTTCTTTTATGTAACAATAAATTTTATAGAGGGAGATTATAGTAAATATTACATACATTCTATCAGTCGGTAATATTATTTAATATTTTATAAAATTAGTAATCGTAATATTTGAAAAAAAAATTCATCTTTGTTACAGTTACTTAAAACATCATATTCAGCTTACAATATATTACAACAAATGCAAACAACATAATTAAAATAGAAGGTAGTATAGAAGCTAGACACAAATTTCCAATTAATACCTATGTGATTAATTCATTTAATTTTCCTGTTATCTATTGTATTAATTATATTTATTATAGTTAATAAATAATGAATAATAATTGATTAATACACGCGTACTTCTTTTTTTATTAGATATAATTTACGATTTTTATACATATAGAATTTTTTATAAATATTCCAACAGTGCAAGAAAAGCAGACAAATTTTTTTTTTATTTAAGACATTGTTAAAAAATATTTGATTTGAAAAATGTTCGATTTTGGAATTCTGACACGTTTTTGTTCTATAGGGTAAACCAGGGCATGGTGGCTATAGTTTTTTATAATGCCAAAAATATACTTTTTCTATTTTTTAAGAGCGTTTGACGTATTACCTCATTGAAGCTTAAAATACATAATGCTATCGACATTAAAAAAAGAAATACTAGAAATACATAGAAAATTTATATTATTATACAGGGTG